TGATCTTTCTGCTTTTCCAGCTTTGAGCATGTAGTAGTATGTAATTTCATAGTTTAATTTATTTATTGAATATATCACATAAATAGAGAGAAACAGTATCATGCATTGTATTGAAACGTTTCGATCACAAGTGATTTCTCATAATCATATCAGTTGTAACTACACAAATAAGAACCTTGATTATGCGTACTACTCTTTCACCCTTAATATTTGTTGAAGTACTATTAGAATTTCGATTAAGCGGTGTTCTCTCAGTTGGTCGATTTCATTCCGAAGCTTTTTGTTATCCTTCTACACACAATATCTCCACTACAGGTTTTTAGTAAGAAATCAATTTATTTGAATTTTCCATGAATAATATAAATGTATCTAATGGCAGCCATTTCAGTGACTGGTAATTAATTTACGCCTCTGTTGATCATTTTTGCTGACTTGGAATTTGAACTTTCTTGTCACGAGACTTGTTTTTTATTAATCGTTGAATATGTGTTTATTAATCTCTGATTAACCTACGTACCAAGCATTTCGAAATTCCCAGGAAATATACTTGGTGTTTTCTCTATTTGAGAAAGATTTCTACATTCTTCCAACTAACTTAGGGTGCATAAGTGTCGATATGTACTGAGAAATGAGAAAATACATAACGTGTCGTTTCACAGCTAGTTTATGTTCATGGATTCTGATTCTATGGGGGAGATGATTGTTGTTGTTGTTGATCGGCTTATGTGCTTTATTGATTTCAAGTGGTCATAATATTCTAGCCGTTATTTTAGAGATATTCTTTATATATATATGGTACAATGAATTTTCTAGTAGTTTTTGATGATGGTTTCTTGTTAATCTTACGACTCCAGTTTAAACACTTTTTTGATGGAACTGTGTACAAGTATTCATATTTTTTGAAGACTGGTTCGTAGGCGTTTTCGCTTCTTTTGTCTTCAACACCGGAGTGTTACACTGTGTGTGTTCGGACCCTGTTAGACAATGTCTCTGTGCAGTTGTGTGAGTAGCTGAGTTATTGCTATTTGCGTGAGTTGATTTTCTATATCCTTGTGTTTCTAAATTCCTGTATTTTAGGTCTCTTATGATTAAGATGTCTAAGAATGGAATTTTGTTATCCAATTCTGAAATAATAGAAAAAATCTGTAACTCAGGTGGATGATTTGCAATTAATAGTGTTCTCTGAGCTGGTTGATTTAGTAGCAAAGCCTTCGTTGTCCCCTGTATGGACAACATCCCCTTTTAGCGCAATATTTAGCATAAAGTGAAATGATTTCAATTTCTTCATGAGCTATAGAATTACGTCTCCCGGTAAAAGAATATATTTCGTGTCTTTCCACACCTGATTCATATTCCTGGATTTGGATTCAAAGGGGACGTCCACTCTGGCCGATGTAATGTCTGTTACAGTTCATACGTGCAATTTATTTTGTAAATGGTATTAATTTTATCTCCTTTTTCTGTTGGATCTTTCGGTTTGCATAATATCGAATTAAGTGATTTGACTGGCTGGCTTGTGTACTATATCTATATCAAACGGTTTCAGTATTCTAGCTGTTATTTCAGAGATATAATTTAGCTTATATATGGTAGGATGAATTTTCCTGTGGTCTTTGATGATGGTTCCTTGTTAGGTGTTGTGATTCGATTTTAAACACTTTTTGAGGAAATTTTGTGGATAACCATATTTTTTGAAGACCGTTTGTATGTATTTATCTTCGATTCTTTTCAACTCTGGAGTGCTACAATGTTTTTGGACTTTTTTAAACAATGTTTGCACACAGTTTTCTTTGTGAGTGATTGGATTACTGCCGGTATAGTTGAGTATTTGATCTGTGTGCGTTGATTTTCTATATACTTGTGTTTCTAAATTTCCTGTGTTAGCTCTCCTGATTAAGATATATAAAGATGGGATTTCGTTATCTAATTCTTTCTCTCTTTTTAACTAATTATCTTTAAATATGTTGTTGATTAATTTATGGGTGTATTCTAAATCATTTCTTCTAATTATTACAAACTTATCATCAACATGACGTACCTAGAGTGTTTTTAATTATTGGTAGAACTGTTAATTTTGATCTATGATAACGGCTTCAGACATTAATGCTGATACGAGCGATCCCAATGGTGTTCGTATATTTCTTTATTGTATTGGAAGTATATTGCAAAATATATTCCAATATTATGGGTTTTCTATTTAAACTACCAAAAAAGGGCGGCTTAGGACTCTGCAAGAACTGGCGAGGAATCATGGTCTTGTCGACGCAGAGTAAAATCCTGAGTCGCATCATCCTGGAGAGAATAAGGGACGCACTGGATACTGAACTCCGACCAGAACAAGCTGGATTCAGGAAAGTCAGGGAAATCATGTACTGACCAAATTGCAACTCTACGCATCATCATCGCAGAACAAAGAAGGGATTGGCAATCAAACCTCTACCTCAACTTTATAGACTTTGAGAAGGCCTCCGAAGGCGTTGACCGTGAAGTAATTTGGAAATTACTCGGGTACTACGGCGTACCACAAATATTCATCAACCTCATTCAACAGCTGTACGACAACAGTGGAACATGTCAAGTGATCCACAACGGAAAACTCAGCGAGGCGTTTGGAGTAAACACAGGAGTCAGACAAGGGTGCTTGCCTATTATCACCAATGATATTCCTAATTGTGGTGGACTGATGGGATTATGCGTCAGACAGTGGGAAAAGATAAGGCAGGGATATTCTGGACCGACGTGAAGAACCTAGAAAACGTGGATTTCGCGCGTGGATGATTTATGCTTGGTGTAACACAAAATCGAAGACTTACAAGCGAAAACCGACCGACAAACTGGTCGAAGAAGCAGCCGGCGAAGACAGGACAGACTCCAGGTGAACATAGACAAGATGGAGGTTATGAAAATAACCAACCAACAACAACAGGAGCAACATCCAACGACAATCACCGTCAACGAGAGGGATTTCAAAGAGATTACTTCATTCATTCACTTATCTGGGGAGCATTGTCTCAACTACAGGACATCGGAACAGACGAGGATGTCAAATCGAGCGAGAATCGGGAAGGCAGGCGAGAAACACATTCATCATCAACCTGAAATCAATCTGGGAATCTTCGTCACTCACCATCAACAATAAAATCTAGTCGGATTTTCAATACAAACGTCAAGTCAGTCAGCTCTTCTATACGGATCAGAAACTTGGCGGGTCACAAAGAATATTTCCAACAGTCTGTTGCAGACCTATATCAACAATAACTGTCTTCGCTGGATCTATACTGAAGATCAGGTGGCCGGGCCGGAAAGAATCACCAACTATGGGAAACTATAGGAAGAAACAAAAGAGGAACCATTCGCCAACCAACAAATATGCAGGAGCAAGTGTAGATGGATTGGACACTCGCTGAGGAGGCCGCTGGGTGACATCGCGCGTCAAGCCCTCGAGTGGAACCCAAAAGTGAAGCAGCGTGTGGGACGTCAGTGCAAGGGTGACATGGAGGAGATCGTGTGAAGAGGAGTTGAAAGAGTATGGACTTACATGGATCCAGGTGAAAAATGCAGCAGAAGACAGAAGTGGCAAGTGGAGACGTGCAGTTGAAGCCCTATGTTCCACTAGGAACCCAAGACAGCAATAATAATAATAATAATCTATTTAAGTTGAACATTACGTTTTGATAATTTCATCACCTTAGAGTACTACCAGCACAGTTTCTCTTGCTAGTTTTAGAGTTATTGCAGTGTCTGGCGCCATGAAGTCAAAGCACACAAGATGTCGGAGACAGGTTTTGATTTATTCCCACTGAACGTATTCTCAGTTGATTCAGACACACGAACTCGGATGTCGGGGAAAACACAACTGACTTATAAGTAAAAATCTGATGAAGGGGAACTTCTGGTGTTAGAAAAAGAAACAAGATAAGAAGTTACACAGTGGTGTTCACAGAAAAGCTGCACATTCCAACCTAAACTTGGATTTCGGTTCATCGCACCCTATGTCAGTAAAATTCCCGCCAAATGAAAGACAATGCTACAGGACTGGACTATATTAACTGTTAGCTTAGAAATAGGGAGTAAAGTGGTAGAGTACGTTGACCACTTCACATATTCGGGAAGTTGAATCAAGCAGCCCCAAGGAGTTGATAGCTGACTAAATCTCAGAATGGATCCAGAAGGCTCATTTTGCATATGCCAGTTTACGCCGTCTCTGGCGTAGACCTAATATCAGGCTGTCTGTCATCCAAATGACGTGTACACTGCTCAGTAATCTGCTCCATCCTCCTTTATGGTTGTGAGACCTGGCTAGTGAGAGTGGAAAACATTACAGTACCGGTTAGCTGTCTTTGATCATAGGTGGCTTCGTTCTATCGCCCGTGTTAGGTGGTATCATTAGGTGAGCAATATTGATGTTAGACATCTATCAAGGTCTAGGTGAGGAGGGGAAACGAATCGACGAGGCTGTGAAGTTATGTTGACCAATATGGTGAGGACTTGTGCTACGCATGCATGCTTAGCCATCACGTTCCTCGATGGAAAATGTAAGCTGATATAAGGTCAGGGTGGAAAAGAGCCAGTGGTTGTCGAACCAAAACATGGACTCATCAGTCAACAAAATCCACAACAGTTAATTTCAGCCAGCTACATAGGGAGCTGTAAACTTCTTTACTGCTTAGGGTCCTCGGGAAGGTAGACACCAAGAGCAGGTGGAGACAATTGGTAATATGGTTCAAAATCGTACTCAATGGCTGATGCAGATGCATCCACTCCCTGTGACTTATAATACCCAATAAAACTATATGGTTCTTCCATATTACTATTCTTTTTACCTCATATCTCTGTTTATTATTGCTGTTTTGAATCTTTTTTTACTTTCTTACATTGCTTTGTGTGCTACAGGAAGGGAGTGTGGTGACTCGAGCTGGTGCACATCAGTGCAAAGTTCTATGTTTAAAACAGTCAGTCAGTCACACATTGACATAAGTCTCCTCTCCATGCTTTTTTAGGTGCATCCAGAGAGCAATATCACAACGATAAACAACAATCCCTTAGAAGTTTCCCTACTTCAAGGAAGCCCAATATTCAGGACACACAATTCAAAAGACACCACACTGCCATATGCTTTTTGTACAAATATAGCGTATAACAGTTCACCAATGACAGATTCAATGACATCAAATCTATCGCATTTAAGTAGTAGTGAAAATTATGTAACACATTTTATTACACCAGATACAATAATATCAACGGTTAATACAGATGAACTACAACAACAACAACAGCAACACCATCCCCTGAGTAAATCTGTTGATCAACAGCACACAGCAAATTCCTTATCACCGACATCATCAAATTCTCCACAGACTTGTATTATCCTTGATCCAGATAGCTTGAAATTTAGTTCAAAACTTGTTTATTTCTGTTCATCGAATGCAAATTTTGAAAGTAAATGATCGTTTTTTTTTCTTGTCAAGATCACAACACACACACTTACACACCCTATTACGTTCTCCTCTATGTATTGTACATTCCATTTTTTGGACGAACCTCTTGGATACATGAAAATGGATTAAAGTGGAATGAAAATTTCAGAACATGTTGTACTTTACAGGCAACCGATGAATGAGTTACTTTACGCTAAGACTAGAACAAAGCAAATCATATATATGCTGTAATCGTTTCTCAGATAAGTCAACTGGTACACCACTTCACTGTGTATATACTGCCCCAACTAGGAATTATAACAAAAATATAAAACGAAGTTCCAACCTACTAATACAACCAATCAAGGAATTTGCCAGTGTATGCTTCAGCCCGGCAGAAAAGCTTACTCGTTGCATTTGAACGACTGTATCGTTTTGGAGAGTTATAATTTTGCAAACAAAAAATCACAAAAATTGGATGATCATAGGATCAAGATAATGGCTTGAAGTGCTTATTTTGCTTATGTGAAAATTTGTTCTGCCTGTCTATAATTATATTTTTTGCATTTCATTTGTGTACAAAAATAACTTTTTACACATTATTACACAGTTTTGAAGCGTACACTTTCATGGAATTTTCACCTTTTTTCGGACGAATTATAACAGACACACTTATTGTGAGAGACGTGAAGGCTATAATAATCATTTTTTTATATGAATCATATTTTTTGGTATGTATGTGTACATTAAGTTTGTCAAACAAAATTAAAACTGGTTATGGTTATTTTAAGTTAACAGGTGAAGATTAGTAATACAAGTCGAGAAAATTGGGTGTTAATGAAACTTGGGTAGTACCAAAGGTGATGAGTTGTCACAAACAGTTGTTAAAAGAAGTTATGTAATAATAATATGAATAGTTTGATGATTGAGTTTTACTCAGGATGCCTAAACCAGATAATATGAAATTGTATCTATCAATTCAATTACGCTTGTAAAGCGAGTTACATTGGCCGCTGCTCTAGAAACTTGATTTTTCGTGCTCACCCGAGAACATCTCCCAGCATGGCTAAGTGAAGGTCTAGTGAAAACTATTAACAGCTCGATATTGGAACATATCGTGCAAACCGGCCACAAAGCTGCCAGCGTGGAAGAATCTTTCTATATCGTCATCTACAGACTACCAAATAAATTGCCAAAAACATAGAAGCACCGCAGGCTCCAAAGAGCAAAGGATATTGCGATTCGCCTCAAACAACCAGCGCTCTGTGTTCAAAAGAAGCAAGTCCAGCCAGCCACTACTACTGCCCTGGCTGACCTTCAGCAGAGACTTTAAATCCATGAATTTGTAATATTATCTTTCCTAGTTCTTCTGACATTCAGCTAATTTTATGTTGATGCGATTCAGCTGTAATCTATAAATATTACAGATTTGATGTTTAAACAACATTAATGTCGTTCATAATACTAACTCAATCATTCACCATAATGTATATAGAACTGTAGAGCCTGATGATGAATTTATCGAAAAGAGTACTCTTTTTTCAGTATCCATTCTTTTAATATGAAATTACTTAAGAGTTATAAATGAATAGAAGAATTATAAAGAATTGTAAGCAATTAAAGAACAGGCAAACAAACGAAATTAAGTCATCGAAATCAAAAAAGTTGAGTAGAAATGGTTGAGTAATCTTCTTTTGTATGCACAGATCCGGTTTTTCTATGTGAACGGCCAGAGCTTCAGCGATACAAAGAAGATGAAACTGTATTGCCTTTAGTAGGTTATATATGACTCTGAAGGAGGCGTTTGTTAAATCTACAGAGTCATGTATAACCTACTAAAGGCAATACAGTTTCATCTTCTTTGTATCGCTGAAGCTCTGGCCGTTCACATAGAAAAACCGGATCTGTGCATACAAAAGAAGATTACTCAACCATTTCTACTCAACTTTTTTGATTTCGATGACTTAATTTCGTTTGTTTACCTGTTCTTTATTTGCTTACAATTCTTTATAATTCTTCTATTCATTTAGAACTCTAGCTTAATTTCGTATTTTCGTTACTATGTGTATCCTGAGCAAAACTCAATCATCAAACTATTCATATTATTATTACATAACTTCTTTTAACAACTGTTTGTGACAACTCATCACCTTTGGTACTACCCAAGTTTCATTAACGCCTAATTTTCTTGACTTGTATTACCAATCTTCACCTGTTTAGTTGAAATAAGCATAACCAATTGTAATTTTGTTTGACATACTTTTTTCTGTTCACATTCTTTCTGAAGATAAATTGATTAAGATGGATGGTTAGGACACGTTTAGCGCTTGGCGAGCCACCTGTTTCTTCGACAGACAATGGCGGTTGACACATAATAAGGTTGAAAAAGACTCATTGGTGTACAAAGCATGACACGATATCAATCCGTGAAGTCGTTGACTCTTTGGAAGGTTTACACCACTATGTTAAGGTCCTCAGAGTGCTAAGGATCAATGGCTAGAGATTATTGTTGATATTGCTGGCTATCGATTTCAGTGATGCATTCACTCCTTGTAATCCTCGCTGTTCCTTAATCTCTCATGTTTCTCAATGTTAATATTCTTTCTCTAGTGCCTTTCAGCACATTATGGTCCTTTTGAATTTCTTTTGTCCCAAGTTTGTCTACCTCAAATGCTTCATGCAATGTAGCAACTTGAATTTCTTCACTTATGCACAAAAATCAATATTGGAAATAGGTTAGTCTGTCATATATATGCCTCTGAAAGTCAATTTTATTGGCTTAATGTTGTATACTCTGAGATGGATGATTTAGCTGCGAAGCTTTCATTGTTCCCCTTCAACAGCACAGCTGGCTTTAGTATGACGTGAGTCTACTGGGCATCTCTCCCTTTGACCTACAATAATAGTGGTTGTCTGCAAGAAGATTTTCCTATTCTCTTGTTTACATGTATTATAGGCTTTTAATTTCGCCCCAAACAATCACCTGTTTATACACCCTCATTTTCACTAGACTCAAGAACCTGACATGTGATTATACTCAACGTTCTCCTCAGTATATTTCCAGTCCATGTCCCCTTTTGTCGGCATATTTTGCTGGTCAGTAAGTTGTTGTTTGATTTGTCACTAGAATTCTAAGTTGCTTATCCTTTCCAGCCGGTTGTCTCATCTCCAGTGTGCAACGAAGATAATTGGTGATGGAAGTCTGCAGCAGACTGCTGGAAGTAGTTCTGGTGAGAAACCATGTCACTGAAACTAACAGAAGCAATGACTAGCTGAAAATTAACTTTTCAAAATAGGAATCTTATTCCCGATGCTTAGTGCAGTAGATTTCTAAACTGGTTTCCGAGTAACGAAAGTCTGTCCTTCTTTCCTGGCTCTGACTGGCTTTCACATCGTCATCCGTGCTGCGCATATCTAGTTGAAACGATGCTACACAGATAGGTATGTGAATTCGGTGTCGCCCCTCAAATTCCCCCCCCCTAAGTTTAGCTGATGCTTTCTGATTTTGTTGTTGGCTAGTAATTATTACTCCTGTCTTCGCTATGTTCATCACTTGAAGTCCTGTCTTTACAACCCGCCTTCTCTTTCAAATTGTGGGTTAGCATTTGCAAAGTTTGAGTGGAGTAAGACGTAAGTATTACCTATGTATAATCTGTCTTCTGGGCCCCTGTGGTATTTCGCATGATCCAGCCTCTTACAGTCAGCATCGGTGTTGATAATAATGATAATAGCTTTATTCTAAGCGGTACTCTTGGTTAAAAAGTATGGAATTTTCACCAGAGAACATGTCTACACGAATATCTCCTCCAAATGAACTAAAAATCGTTTGTATCTCATCCAATCCTTATTTTATTTGACACATTTGTTAACAACTATTCAGCTAATTTAGATAACAAGAAGACCTACAATTGTCCAACTTACACGGATTGATATTTAAATGCTGAGATTGTAAAATATATGACGGATTAATATAATCACTGGAAATTAAAATTCACCTAATGTCTGATTTGTAATAGTGAAAATTTTCTATAGTTGGTTTGTTAGGGTTAGTTATTTTTTTATGAATTGATCACAGATTGATATCAGTTAGAGAACCATTGAAAATCAGCCCTGGAGTACTGGAGAGCTGTCTCATCCGCCTAGTTTTGGAATCATCAACAGTACGCAACCACACCGTGGGGTTCGAACCCAGGACCTTCCAGTTGCAAAGCAAGCTCGTGTACTATTCAGCCACCGGAACCTGATTCACTGGCCATCCCATGAACTCTAACATCTACCAATTCGTGATTTGGCGTGAGTGGCCCCAACCAATGTCATCGGTGGGACATCCATCCTCACACTTGACTGGATGTACCTCAGTGGTCATGACTTCTAACTGGAATGATGATTCCCAAACTCGGATGAAACAACTGTCCAGTAATCCCTGGTTTTAAATGCTTCTCTAACTGATATCAATAGTGAGAATGTCACCAATTCGTTTCTCAAATATTTGCTCAACAGTCACGACCAGTGTGTTTAACCAGATTAAATCTAAGGACGGATAGTGACAAAGCACTGTGACATGAGTCCTAAGATGGGAATGGGAACGTATTTGTTTCACAGTAAGGCAATCGTATCCTCAAAATTTACTATTTTTATTTTCTTTTTTCGTTTACATACATACCGCCTCAAGATAGAGCTTTTAGGTTTCAGTAGTTAGGCTCACACCCGACCTTCCTTCTCTACCAGCTGGGTGAGTTAAAGAAATAGGTTGGCAGGGAATCGAACCTTGGACCACGAAAAGTGTGATTGGAAAGCATTCTACTGCTGTATCACCGACGCACCTGTCATCAGAATAAGTCAGCATATTCCAATTATGGGCACTATAGGGACTTAGATTCGTTTTAAGGTAGGTTTTCTCACAAAATAAAATTGGTTCGAGAATCATGGAAAGCAAGAAAGGACTGGATCGTCGTTCCGTTTAAGACACTTCAGCATCGCTTTTCTATTAGAGATCGAACACAGAACGTTCTGATTCAAGTCTAGTCCACTAACCAGTTAAGCGATAGGTCGTAATTCGATTATCTCAGTATTCTAAATCCTGTCAAACTTTACAGAATCTACAACTGGAACATCAATTTTCACCTCGATGATGGCTATCAGATGGAGGTCCTGCAGTCGTTATAAGATTTCATGGTCAGTAAGGTATAACACCTAAATGCTCATCGAATAATTTTGTTGGTGGTAAAAGTATGTCGCAAATTTGCAGCATTTATCATCCACAGGTCATCGAATTCCGATCCGGTCTGTATATGATCAACTGACTGCCTTCTTCATAGGTGGGCATTGCTAACAAGTCCAAAACTAAGACAAAACAGTGGTCCAGTGCTCCCTCATTTTCAATAATTGTCTAACTATTGCAGGTTCGTGACGAGGTCCCCATTGAAAGGGACGATTGAAATAGCGAAGAATCATAGAAAGGACGGAAATGTCATCTTTTATTGCCTATTCCTCAGTAGTTATTTCCAATGTTAGCATATCACTACCTAAAGTTTTATTTTGGCAAGATATAAATAAGCTCAATAAGCGGACTATGAAAACATAAATGAAGTAAAACCCGGGGAAAAGATCCGTTTAACTTCATAGACTGAAAAACAATTAGTGCTTCTATGTGCTAAAAATCTTAGTTGCTTATTTCACACATTACGTTGCAATAAAAAATGGAAAGTAAACACTCAGTGACTCATATATGACAACGAATTCCTGCAAAATGTTTTAAGAGCGCTATGTAAAATACTCTTCTTATGAGGCGTTTCGAATGGCCCGACTTTGTTCTTCATTGATTCAAGGTTAAAATTGTAAAGAAATTCGGGTAGGCTCACTGAAATAGAGTTCAAAGTCTACTATAAACAGTAAGTAGGTGACTTTTCTCAAAAAAAAACTTAGAAACGAAAAACAGCCAGC